CCCCAAAACCCCAAAACCCCAAAACCCCACTATGATAAATAAATAAGAATCAAGAGATTGTTTAAAATAATACAAAACTAAATTATATTTAAAATTATAAATTAGTGGTAAAATTAATATTAAAGAAAATGTTAAAGCAAACTTTTAGAAATCTCTACCAGCATTTGGAACGCTCTGTCCAATCAAGGCTTCCTTAATAAACAACTAAATTCAATATGAGATAGATGTCAGAGTACTGCAAGCAATCATTTTTAAAGAATCAAAGAGTGATGCCTTAAATCCTGAAGAAAGGGGCCGAAAAATAGAGTAAATTCTTTAACAATTTCGGATCTAAGAGAGGTTTTTCCAGCCGAGGTGGAGGGGACAGGTTTAATAATTTCCTAGAAAATTTAGCTAGTCGCATACCAGGTGGAAACATAGGAGCAGTCATCGTAGCCATTAACACCTTCTGCTATTTCATGTATTTGATATGGCCGCGCTACCAAATGTACTCCTACTTGAATAACTTCACATTCTCGAAGTTTAATCTTAACCAAGGTAGACTTCATACATTCTTTACAAGTCATTTCACACACATGAGTTTCCTCAGCTACTTACTAGACTCAGTAATTATCTACCTATTCTGCCAAAACCTTGGCATGATGTTTGGGCCAGTTTTCGTGCTCAAGAATATTCTACTTTCCATGTTTATGGGCAACTTCTTATTGTTCCTTCAACATCAAAGCTCTAATGGAATGCTCAGACCTTTTTACGGAAATGATTCAATTCTTAGAGGACTTATCTTTACAATTATCTTCTAAAACCCTCAAGCGAGTTTCTATATGTTCCCTCTGCCTATATAAATCCCAGCTTGGGGAATCGCTGCTGTCTTATTAGGTCTAGATTTCTTAAGTTTCAATGTTGCTGCATTCGGTGGAGTGTCTGCCTCTTACCTGATGGTTAATTACTTTCTCTGAGTAAAAAGCAAATCTCTAAATCTTAAAGCTTCAAAAGATAAAAATTTATATTTAAAACTTAATAAAGTTATTTCCTCATCAACATAATTGCAATCTATGATGAGTGGGGTTTTGGGGTTTTGGGG